AAAGTGAGGGGGGCGGGGGCGGGGGCGGACTGGGATCCCTGCAGCTGCTCCCAAACCCTGGGAGCCTGAGAGAAAGGTCGACCCCAGCCAAAACCCCTCGCCGTCCCCGCGGGGACAAGGGGCGAGTGCTACCCTGACTACCACACCCACGGTCGGCCCTACGCGGCGCACAAGCGGGTGTGTGCACAGACACGTGCACACCGTGGGGTAAAGGCCGCAGACTCGGCGAGTTCTTGGCGGGCTTCTCTGTGCCCCGGAGACGACTCATGAATAATCCTAGACTGCAGAGAAACCCCAAAATCAAGTCAAGTTGCCCTTGGTTGATGGTTGGAGCTTTGCAGGAAAAAACAATCTGCGTTAACAAATATTTGAGCGCCTCCTTTGTGCTTTGCCCTGTGTTGTGTACCATTGAGCAAAGATGTTTGCTCCGCAGGGCCCAGGACCTCCCAGGCTCAGATCCCTCCTCTCCGCGCCCCCAAATCGGGGCTTTCTTGGGGCCTTCTCTCCTAGGAGGACGTGGGCCAGTATTCAAAATGTGCCAAGAACTGACAACCAGAGAGCAGCTTTTCCTGTCTCAAATCTGTAGGCCAAACTGATGCAGACACCTGAAATCACTCCTGCAACATTTATTGCCCCAACTCTGGGACTTCCTCTTGTGCTAGGCCCTAAGTCTGATGCGTTAACTAAAAGTTAAAATGTAAGTTGGACAGCTAAGTGTGTCACAGAGATGCCACACTGGAGATTTGAGTTGGATTGTCAGGCATGAATAGGATTTTGCCAGGAGAGAGACTTTCTGGGTATTGGAAATACAATGTGCAAAGGCACTGAGGCACAAAAAGTCCTGCCATGCTCCGGGGTGCCTTGGGCTTGGGACAAGGGAGGGAGCTGGATAGCAAGAGATGAAAAAAGAAGACAGAGGCAGACCATGCAGGATCTCTGAGGCCTCTATAGTGTCTGGACGGGAGCAGAGGCAAGTGTGATGCAGCAGCTCACTCTGGGATCATTGAGAAGCCCAGGCTGGTGGACATGGCGGGGAGTGTGATTCAGCAGTCCAGTTAGAAGCCTAAAGAAATTTCAGAGCACAATGGTTAGCATCCTGGGGTTTGGAGTTAGTCTGATCCACATTCAGCTCATGGCACTGCTCTTAAGAACTGTGTGACCTTGTACAAGTTCCCTCATCTGTGAGAAGAGAGTCATGGCCACCTGTGCATAGTAGTGGCTATGAGGATTGAATGTGTGCAAATCACTCAGCATGGAGTGTTGATGGGTATAAGTCCTAAGTTCATGTTGACTTTGGTGTCGGAAGATGAGCGAGGCAGTGGGGAATGGAGAAAGGGATGTGCACAAGGTCAGCATTAGCAGTGGTGGGAACGTCAGAAGCTGGGGAAGTGAGGCGGGTCACAGGTGACCCAGGTTTCTAATTAGGGTGACAGGATGAAGGATGAATCAGGGAATGGGGAGAGGAGTTATCAAGAGACAAGAGATTGGAGAGAAAGACAGGTCAGACATGCAGAACCATGTTGGCCGTGCTAGAGCCTGGCCACCACGCTGTGACTTGAGGTCAGAAATGGAAAATAAACTGCAGGGTTTGGCAGAGTGAGAGAGAGAAGGAATTCATTTCTTTGCACAGACTTTTGCTGAGCATCCATCTTGTGTCAGACTCTGTGCAGAGGGTCAGAGATTCAAAATGAGCAGCCCACACACTCTGCCCACCTCTAATTGAGGGTCAGCCAGAAGTCATGCACTTAAGAGGTCTGCAGGGGCAGGATGGGAGCAACTGAAGGAGGAGTCCCTAGCCCAGTGACTCCAGGTAGATTCTGGAAGGTCTTCAGAAAGAGGTGAGCCCTGAGCATCATTACAATAGGAAACAGGAGAATTCCAGACAGGAGGATACATCTCAGGCTCTGATAAGGAATCTGTAGTGTTTTGGACAAGGTGAAGTTGAGGTCTCCTGAGGGAGAAGTGTATAATGAGTGACTGCAGTTTGAGTCTAGAGCTCAGAAGAAATGGGAATAAGAAATAGAGACTGGAGGGTCTCCTGTGGTCACAGCCACAGGCTTGAAAGCTCCAAGGGGTCAGGGACTGTGTATGTTCATCACAGTATCCTCAGCCCCTAGCAGAGAGCCTAGACCAGGCTCAACATTTTCTTTTATCAAAGAAATGTATGTGGTTAAATAGTACTGAAGAGCTTATTCAGTGATGAAAAGCAAGAATCCCCTACACCACACCCCTAGTCTCTCTCCTCTGTGCAGCCACTGTTGTTTCATTTAAACTTTTTCTGCCTAGTTACCTTATTATCTCTCTAGAAGTTCACAGGCTCTTTCTTAGTTTATCAGCTCCTGACAGTACCACCTTTCTGCTCTAATGGCACCACCTTCCCCTATCCTCCCAACATCAGTTGTTTTGAGATCTGCTGATACCTTTGTAAATTTAACATATTTTTATCTTCTTTAAAAAAATAAACTTTAGACAGTATCTTTTAATACTATAAATAGTAAGATGAAATTTTTAGTGCCCTTACCCTTCCCTTCAGCTTTCCTCTCTGAAGGAAGTCTCACAAAGACTAACCTGTATTTTTATTATTTAAATATCAAGGTTGGTAACATTTACATTTTCTCATCACCATAATTGTTTTCCAAATTTTGTCTATATATTGATTCTAAAAGTTGAAAGTTAATAAACAGGATTTACATTATTGTGACTACATAACTACTGTTCACTGCAGAACCCAGATACCACAGTTACCTTTTCTTTCTCATGTAGCTTTTTGTTTTACCTGGAGTTTTTAGTTGCCTTTTCTTTGTGCTCTTTGGTTTGATTATAATCTTCATTTTCTTCAACCTCTAACCACCATCCATTCTGTCTGGTTTTCTTTATTTCAAAGATGTGCTGCCCAGGACCCTCCATCCTGGTTGTAGGCCTCTATACTGTTAACATCCTGGGACTTAACTGCTTTCCTGAGGTGGACACACTATTTAATTCCTGACTCTCTTATTTTACACCTCTATTTTACTTTAACACACCCTCAAAAAACTTCCTAAAAAAAAAAAAAACAGAGGAGGTAAATTTTCTGAGTCTTTCCATGTCTGAAATGGTAGTTTGGCTGGATATAACATTCTAGGTTAAAAACAATTTTCCTCAGAATTTGAAAGGTAACCATTGTTACTAACTCTGCTGCTAGTATGATTCTCCTCCCCTCGTAGATGACTGATTTTTCTACCTTAGAAGCATTTAGGAATTCATTGTTCCTGGTGCAGTGAACTTTTACAGCAAGGATCTTTTGACATCTGTAGTGCTAGGCATTCAGTAAACTCTTTTAAGCCAATGATATCCTTCAGCTTAGGGAAATTTTGATTTCTCCTTTCTTCATGTTCTCTATTCTTTCTAGATCTCCCTTCTATACCCCAGAATTGGACTTCCTATTCATCCTTTTCTCTCACATTATATTGATATTTTGATTCCATTTTCTGGGAAGATTCTCTGTGTTTTATTTTCCAATTCTATTTGGCCAAAAAGCTCTTTCTCTTCTTGATTCTTTTTAAATAGTATCCTGTTCTTGTTTTTTTTTTTTTGGATATAATATATATATTGTTCAATATCTTCATCTCTGACTCTCTGAAGATGATTGGAGTTTTTCTTTAGGTTTCCTTCTGTTTCTCAAATTACCTCTGGAACTCTGGAGTCATCTTTTCTCTTGATCTGTTACTTGCATGCTGGCAGTTTCCTCAAATGTCTGGTGATGTTTGGTTGTCCATGTTTAAGAATGAAATTGTAAAATGCTGATTGGAACCTGTGACTGCAGGACTCATTGCCTGGCGGATGTCATTTTAGGGTAACCAGACAGAAACCAGACATATATCTGGCTAATTCAAGAAGACCAACAAAACTGATAAACTGAACAGGAAAAAAAGAAGCCAAAAATGACCAATATGAGGAATGAAAGAGATGACATCACTATAGACTCTACAGATATGAAAGAGGATAATATGGGAATGTTATGAACAAAGTATGCCAATAAATTTGACAACTTAGGTGAAATGGACAAATTCCTTAAAAAAAAAAAAAACTCCAAAGCTTACTCAAGAAGAAACATATTCTGGAGATGGATGGTGGTGATGGTTGCACACTAATGTGAAGGTACTTTATGCCACTGAACTATACACTTAAAACAGTTAAAATGGGCAATTTCATGTTATGTGTATTTTACAACAATAAAAAAGAAGAAATAGGCAGACTAAATAGCCCTGTATCTATTTTTTAATTGATTTGTAATTAACAATCTCCCCACAAGGAAACTCCAGGCCCAGGTTCATAAGCTTCATCTGTGAATTCTACCAAATATAAGGAAAAATAATACGAATTTTATACAAACTCTTTCAGAAAATTGAAGAGGGGATACTTCTTAACTCATTCTATGAGGCCAGCATTACTGTAATATGACAACCTGACAGACATTATAAGAAAATAAAATTACACACCGATATACTTCATGAACATATGTGTGAAAATTCTTTTTAAAAGCAAATCAAATTCAATAATGTATAGAAAAATAATACATTATGACCAAATGAGATTTATCCCAGGAATGCAAGATTGATTTAACATTTAAAAAATCAATTTGTTTTACCATAAACAAAATATAAAAGAATTATTAGCAAAATAATATGTAACATTTATATGTTAACATATTATAATATATGCTATGTATAAGATACATAATACATTAGCAGAATATAAAAGAAAACCATATGATCATCTCAATAAATGCAGAAAAAGCATCAGAAAAAAACCCAGCATCCCTTCCTATTTAAAATCTAAGTAAACTAGAAACAGTATGGAAATTCCTCAACCTGCTAAGAGTCACCTAGGAGAAAAAATCCACTAACATTATACTTAATGGTGAAATATTGAATGCAATCTCCCTAAGCTCAGGAACAAAGCAAGGATGTCTACCCTCAATTCCATTCAACACTGTGCTGGAGATTATTCTCAGTGCAGTAAGGCAAGAAAAAGAAGAGACATCCAGATTGGGTTGAGTCACACACATTATTGTTTGTGTAGAAGACCCTATGGAATCTTTTAAAAAAGAAAAGCTTCTAGAACTAATAAGATTTTAGAATGGTTGCAGGATATAAGATCAATACATTTCTATATAATAGCAACCTGCAATTGGAAATAAAAATTATTTCACATACTACAGAATGTCACTTGGATCCCTAATAGAACATTGCCAAGTTGGGAACAGAGGACCCCAGTTGAGTCAACCTCAGATTTTTGCTTCCAAACCCCTGCGCTGCAATGAGGTTCATACCGTAATCATTTCTTCTATCCGCATCCAGTTGCTGTGGAGATGGGAGGGTTAAATTTCCCAGAGAAGCTTTGTAAAGCAAGCAAGGAAGACTGTGCCATCAGAAACCTCCTCAACAACAGTTGGGGCAGGTAGAGTTGGAGATGAAGAGAGACATGAGGAGGAAGCCGAGGGGTGGTCAAAGGAAGAATGGTGGTCAAGGAGATGACAGGTTCTGAAGAGACCACTGAGCTGGCCACTGGGAGCCTGTCCCTGTCCCTAGCCCAGCCAGCCAGCTGATCCCAGATCCCCCAGCCCAAGCTGAACATGGATGCACCCAAATGCCAGGGCCAGGACCGGCCATTCAAGGACCCTCCCCAGCCTCTACTTCTCTAGGAAGAGGCCACAGCACATTCTAATCCTTCTGATCTAATCCTGGGAGCAATTCTTCTCAGCTAGAGCCAAGGTTGTCACTTCCTGCCACACTGCAGGCTCATAGGAACCCAGCTTGCCCGTTGCCATGATGGCCTCTCCATCAACCCCTATCCCCTACCCTGGAGAACAGAGAATGGGACATCCTGGTGGTCCCCACCCCCAAAGGATGAAAATGAAACTTCTGCAGTAAAAGATACAAGCTTCTAGAAAAGGGACTGGAGTTGGGGGACCCCTCCCAAGGAGTTAGTCTCCTTTATGGAGGGTGATCGGAGTTCATAAATAATCAGATGGGTGTCAGCATCGCTCTATCCTTATATATCAAGCACCTGGGGTAAGAACCCTGGCCTGGAATTGGGGTCAGTGGCCCCAGGGTGTGATGGAGTGAGAAGCCAGGGAAAGAGAGAAGAGGTTTCAGGGTAGGAGAGGCCAGGATTAGGGTGAGCAGCAGATCTGAAGCCTGGACAGAGAGAGTGGTGAAAGAGGGCAGGAGAGCAGGAATGGAGGGAGGTGAAGAAGGTTCATCTGGGCATGATGGGGAACCCCACAGATGTGGGCTCCAGGGTAGGACAGCATGCAGGCAGGGGAACTAAGAGTTTCTTGAGTCAAACCTGCATTTAATTCCTGCCTTTCCGAATAATCAGCTGAGGGACCTTGGGCAAATGACTCTTCTCATTTTTTGTGTTGAATCAATGAGCTAAAGCATATAAAGTGCTCAGCATGATACCTGGGCTAGAAGCATTCAATCAAAGGAAGCGACTACTGCTAGTATCTGCCCTTATGGAGGACGGTGATGGATCAGGGAGAGTGGAGGGGAGCAGACGTGGAGGATAGGGCTGGTGACACTGGCAAGGGAGAGCGAGGAGACGAGGGGCAGGATGGAAGAGGAGATGGCAAATGGGCTTAGGTAAGGGACAGGGAGGGAAGGAGTGGCTGGACAGCACCACCCGCCTGGGCTCCAGAATCCCTCAGGGACTGTCCCCACCTGCAGCTCCCCTGCCCTCACCTCCTTCTCCCTGTCAGGTGCCAATGGATTTCCCTGCTGTGGCAAGGAGTCGGTGGACATTGTGGATACACAGTGAGAACCAGTCCCCCATTATCATAGGACCTTTCCCCAACCCTCCAAGACCACCAACCCTTACCAGCTGCCACTGCTGCCAAGTTTTCATGTACCCACCCCAACCCAGGATCTCCCTCACCTATCGTGTCCATTTCCAAAATCTCTGAGGGCAGAATCCAGGCCAAAAAGCAGAGAGTGTGGCTACAATCACCCTCTGCTTCCACCACCAGCCCCTGATGACTGAGGGGTGGTGGGGCACACTCAGAGGCATGGATGGGACCTGACCCCTTAGAGCTGCCTATCTCTGAGAACAGAGCTCTCTGTGGTGAGGGTGGGCAGGTGCCTAAGGATGGAGAGGGGGTCACAATGACTGAGCACTGAGGGCAATAGCCAAGATGTCAGCCAACTACCCACAAGAACCAAAGGAACCCTCCATGCACATCTCCACACTTCAGATCTGCCATGCTGGGATTGGGCAAGTCTGGGAGAGGGCATGGCTCTGGACTTCTCCCTCTGTGGGGAGCCACTTTCAGGGCACTGGCTCACTGAGATGATTGATTAAATGAAGATTCCTGGGCCTCACCTCCAACCAGCCTAGATCCCTTTTTGCAGGTGGGGGGCAACTTGGCAAGCTCTCTAGGCACTTCCTGAGCTCACTAAAGTTTGAGACTGTTATTCTAGAACTCTTGGTGGGAGTGGCCACAGCCAGGGGAGTGGGCTGGGGGCATCTTACCAGCCCCTATACAAGGCAGGAGGCCTTGAGGGCTCCAGAGACCCTCCCTTGAAGCCACCTCACCCACCCCATAGAGCCCTGTCACCCACTCTGTCTCCTTCTGTCTTAGGGGTAACATAAACCAATACCAGTTCCAGCCAACACAAGACGAAGATGAAATGGAGGTAACAGTGGGGAGTGTCACTTCTTAGGGGGCGGGGGAGGCAAGGGCCAGAGTTCTTTGGGGCCCATCTTCTCTAAAGCCTGACCAGCCCCTACTCTTGACAATTCTGGGACTCTTGTACCAGGCCAGTGTCGGCACAGGCAAGCACACCCAGCTGTCCACACCACCTCCCTGCCCCAGGTTGGGTCACTTAGAAGAGGCAAGTGTTGGGGAGGAAATGAGCAGGAGGACAAAGGGGGCAGGACAGGGAACTGGTGACAGGGAGGACCTCAGGGGCAGGTACCTCCTCAGCTTCCTGTTGAAACCTTACAGCTGGAGAAGGAATTGCTAGAGCTGGAGCCTCCGCACAGAGAGGTCGTGGACCTGGACTCAGAATTGGAGCTGGAACAGAAGTCCGAGGCTTCCTCACTGCTGGAGCTGTGCCCCGCAGCCAAGCTCAAGTCCAAGGTCAAGCTGAACATGGAGCCCAAGTTGGAGGTGCCCAATCTGGAATTCTGCAGTGAAGACGCTGGGCCACAGGGGTACAGGATAGAGTCGCTCCACCCCTACACTGAGGGGCTCGCGCAGCAAGACGCTGGCCGATGGCATATGAGGTCAAACTCCAGCTACTTGGGCTCCTCAGAAGATGACCAGGTGTCCACCAACCATCGCTCTATCCGTGTGCAGACCTCAAAGCACCTCTTCTGGGCAGACAAGCTCATCCAGGCCTCAGAACACAGCCTGCAGAAGGCGATCAGCACGCAGCCACAGCCACAGCCTGTCAAAAAGAGCACAGATGAGACCACCAGCCATCTAGAGCAACAGTCGGTCCCCAAGGACACCATGTGCTCCAAGGAGCAGCTCCAGGACCCCAGTGCCCAGCCAGCTCTTCCAGCCACAGGCTCCCAGCCATCCTCCTCCCCAGCAACCATCGGCCTGGCAGACCTGATCAACTTCGCATCTTCCCTGGCCATGGCCTCCTCCAGCAAGATGGACTTACCCAATTTGGAGCACATGGTCAAAGCCCCACCCCAGAAGGCCACGGAGCCTCCTACAGAGCCCACCATGGACAAGCCAGAGCAGGAAAAGCTCACTAATGAGTTGCTAGAGAAACCACTAGAAGCCGGGGAGCTGCAGAAAGCTCTGAAGCAGAAAGACAAGAGTTTCCCCCACCCTTACCTTGACTTCAGCAAGCAGGGGTTCAAGAGTGCCAATATTGAAGGGGAAGTGAAGTTTCTCCAGCCCCCGAACATGTCCCCTCAGCTGCAAGAAGCTGTGAAAGAGTAAGTGAGGCTGGCCCAGGGGAGGGCAGTGCTCGGATATGGGGTTGGGGGGCACAGCCAGGTGCAGGTAGCGGACAGTGGAATGAGGGGCTGGCTGCGGTTGGGGTGAGCTGTGATGTCTCAACCTCAGTGACCTCATAAAGGCTGCTGGAAACCAGGTTCCAGTGACCTGAGGTGCAGTGCCGAAGCCAGGACTGCAGGAGGCCCGGGAACTATGGAGGGTGAGCACTCCAGGGCTCAGGCAGGGATGTGGGTTCAAAATGGGAAGGGCCATTCTAGCATTAGGAAGCTTCTCACCCAGAGCATAGCTGGCCTCACCCTCACTGGAAATGCCCAGGCATTTCTGCCCTGCTGAGAACCCGATGGCTCCAGCCCTGGTTTCAGGACACCTCCATCAGGCTGAGAATGAGGGCACAGGGTTCCCAGCACCCCGTGCTGGTGATCCATGAACACAACAGACTGTCAGCTGCCCATCAGTGTGGGCAGGAAGAGGCCCTTGTAGCCCCAGAGCCTTGCTCAGAGGGGCCTCTGGGCTCATCCCACTCCCCTGACCCTTCCACTGGGGCCCAAGTGACGCTTTCTCTTTTGTGTTGCAGCTCGGTGCCGGGAACCAAGAAAGGGAATCCATTATTGCTGAAAATCCATTTTAAGCTGTCGTCCCCTAATTCCCCAGAGAAATGACTAGACAAAACCAGTAAAGCCTCCAGTGCTGACCCCCGGCTCAGACTTTTTGTGCAAACGCTCCTGAACCAGTGAGCTCATCTTGCTGCAGCATCCCGGTCTCAATTTTTTGGGGGGATGCCAACCCCATTTTTAGCTACCCCCACCCCAGGGCTCTGCCAGCCCTGCTTTGTCCCTGCTCTCTCCCCATGTGTAGTTCCACTTCACCTGCATCTAGCCAGACCTCTGGGCCAGCAACAAAGACTCATAACTAGTCTTGGGGAGGCCTCGGTACCATTTCTAGGGCTTCTGTTTCTTAGATCATTGGGGCATCCCAAATGAGGCATGTTGGGATCATCTGAAGCGAGAGCCTCCTGAGGGTGGGGCTGGGCAGGTGAGAAGGCGTCTGGAGTGAATTCTTCCTGCTTCTCTCCATGGGGAAGACCTGGCTTGGGGAAGGGATAGGGTCCAGGGCTTGAAGGGAAGAATGAAGCCAAAGAATTGGTCCTCCAGGGGCCCACGGCCTTGAGTTAGAGGTACCTCCAGTGCAGGGGAGAGCCCATGTGTAATAGTGCACTTCCGCATGCAACCCAGATACACACACACACACACACACTAGCACATTACACACACATTCCCTTAACACATGTACACACAGGCCAAGGTAGCACATTCCCCATGCGCTGTGCACATGGGCACACATAAACACAGTGCCTGTGACCCAGACACGTGTACTAAACATGCACACAAATGCACAAGCCTCCCATGGCGGGGAGGACAGGCCATGTGGGGAAGCTTCTGGAAGAGAAGATGGAGGCAGAAGAGGGAAGGGAATTCGGGGTGTGGGGATGGCGTGGGCAGGAAGAAGGAAGTCAAGGAGAAACAGAAGGGCAGGCAGCACCTCGCCTTGGGCCCCAGTGAGCCTTGAGATCTACTCCGGGCCACGGCTCCCCAACAAGTGAAAGCCCAGCCTTGCAGGTGCTTGAGGGGGTCTGAGGACGGACATGCCCAGGGCCTGGGAGAGTGGGACTTGGAGGGGGTCAGCAGTGAGGAATGGTCCAGGGGCCAGAGAAGGGAGCAGGAGGCTGGGAGGAGGGATGAAGAAGAGACGCAGAGGTGAGCGTCAGGGAGGGGCTAGGCCAGAAGCGTCATTTGGCTATTGGAGTGCATCTTCCTGAAGTATTCTTTTAATGTGGTTTGTGGGTTTGCATTGTTTGGAAGAAAGGATCCTTCCCTCCCAGGGGGCCTAGGGTTAGGTAGGCCACAGCCCCACCTTGGCTGGACCCCACCCTCCCACGCCTTGACTTCAGGCCTTCTCCAGGGCCTGTTTCTCCCCTGGGCCTCTGCTATCCTGTGTTAGCTTTTGGAGTGGAGTCACAAATTTACATACCTTTAGGGGGCAGAAACTCAAAAGAATAAAGCAGCAGGTTCCCCAGCAGAGAGGAGGAGACCTGTAGTGAGGGAGACACTCACCCCTGCCAAAAGTTGTTAAAATCTTCCCCAAAGCCAGCCTGGGGGCTGCGGGCCTGGGGCACTGGGCCAGCATCCAAGCCTGTGACTCCGCCTTTCAGGCAGCAGAGGGCAAAAGAGCAAGAGATCACCATCAGCAAAGAGAACGTACAGGTGACCAGGGCTGGGGAAAGGTCCCCTACTACTCCAAGCTACTGCCCCCAGGATCCCCTGGGGAGAGGACTGGGGGTGCAGCTGGCGTGGGGGATCCTGGGAGGTGAAGCTATGCACTCAAAGGTCTGGTCCCGGGTCGTCTGGAGTCTGAGCACTCAAGTGGGCTAGGCCCCTCTGCCCTGTCTTCTCCCCACCTCCAAGGCTACCACAGAAGCCTCAGAGACTGCTCACGCGAGACCCAGGAGAGGAGCAGACTGGCAGGATGCAGAAGGGGAGGCTGCAGCAGCGCGCTGCCCTGCTGACCCAGACAGAGCCAACAGCAGCCACAGCCCCAGGGGCTGAGCAGGCCTCGCAGAGGGCAAAGGAGATCAAGGATCTTGCGGCCACCCATACAGGAGAGTCAGGCCCAAACACTGGGTCTCAGAGGTGAGGGCAGGGATGCGAGGCCAGGCCTGGGGTGCTGGGTTTGGGGAAAGGCCTGCCTGCCTGGCCTGGCATCTCTCTGTAGCAGGTGCCAAGGCCTTTTCCAACCTCTTCCACCTGAGGCAGCTTTGCAGACAAGATCCCACTACCCCTGACACCCCGGCAGCTGGCAGGTGAGGGCCTCAGGGCTGGGAGCAGGGAGGAAAACTAGGGGTGCTCAGAGCAGAATACAGCAGGTTGCCTGCCCAGGGGCTGGGGTCACTGCAAGAAGCCAGTGACAGTGTTGTAAACTTGTCCCCACACCAGTCTAATTTGTTCATATCTATAATTTCTGGGCTCACTGGTATGTGTGTGTGTGTGTGAAGGAGGGAGTGAGGGAGGGAGGGACTGGTAGACAGCAAGGTGTTTGGATGGTGGATGGATAGATGGTGAGTGGATGAACAAGATGGAAGGAAGAAGGGAAATTTGGAGAATGGATGGAGAAAAAGAATCTGAGGTCCCTGCCCAGCTGCGGTCTGGGGCTGTGGGAGTAGGGGTGGAAGGAATCACTTCTACATTTGGGGGCCTCAATGCCCCCACAAAGATTATGCCCTGATATTGGCAAGGACCCCTTAAAGCAGAATTATTCTATTTATCACCAATAATTTTCAGTGCCTGCCACATGGTGCCAGCAGGGCTCCTGGAGCCTGGACTCCAGAGCCAAACTGCTGGGGTCCAAAGCCTAGCATTGCCCTGACTGGTGGAGTGACCTTGGACATGAGGTTTTAATGTTTTTCATATAAACATATCCAAACATGAGTTTTAGATGTGAGAATTGAGTGGACACTTAACAAGTGCCAAGCAGCTATTGTTCTTTATATCGAGTTATAATGCCCAGGGGGTTGGAAAACACTAGTCTTCAGTCCCATTGAGCTAGAGTGGGTGGATCTCAGGGTTCCTGTGTGTGCAGTTCACCTCTCTGACCTTCCCCCGTCCCTGCCCCCAGCGTTCCAGGATGTCTTCAAACTGTTCAGCTCCAGCCTGACAGGCACTGTGGACATGCGCAGCATGAAGGCTGCCCTGGGCAACATGGGTGTCCGGCTGACCCCACAGGAAATGTATGAGGCTCTGCAGGAGGCAGACTTGGATGGTGGGTACCCCCATCCCTGTCCTCCTGTCCTCTCTCACCTCTAGCCCTGAAAATGCCTCCCTTCCCCACAATATCTCTGGCCTAGTCCTATTTTAAAGTTTCCTCTTCCAGGAAGCCTACCCTGATCAACGTGCCTATCCCCTCTCCCCTAACATTTATGATAATCCTCAACCTGATTTGGGGGTCCCCCAGGGCAAGGACTGTTTCTCCCCCACTCAACCAGAGGCAGGACTGGATTCTTTAATGTCTGAAACTGCTGGCAAGCCCTTAACACGTCTGCAGGGTAGGATTACTGCGGGGGACAGACACCTACAGCACCCCCTCCTTTCTCTCTTCCCAGGTGATGGAACTGTAAGCTTCAAAGACTTTCTGGGTGTCCTCACTGACAGCCACCGCCTGGCTCAGTCCTTGGGTGAGGGGCAAGGCTGGTGCAGCAAGAGTGGGCCTGGCCTGGGGGAGACTCCTCCTTACCTTTTCCATGTTCTCTGCCCCTAGGCCAGGTGAGGAACAGCCGGGTCTGTGGCCCCCAGGGCCGGGAGACCCTGTTCTTAGAGATGATGTTCAAACTGATGAGTCTGGGCTTTGTGCCCCACAAGTCGGTGCAGGAGGTGATGAGGTGGGCACAACTGTACCGAGCTTTGGGGCTCAGGATGGAGGGATTAGACTCTTCCCCGTGCAGAAGTCCCCAGATGTCCCTGCCCCTGAGACGGGAGCCCTGAATTCTGGGTCAGTTTCCTGGGCCCCAACTTGCTCCAGGCCCGAAACAAGTGGCTTCCTGTTCTGTTTTGGTTTCCCTGCGGGTGAGATGGAGAGGACTGGGGGAGGCGTTGTCTGAGGCGGCTACACACTTCTCCTTCGAGCTATTACTCCAAGAAGCAGCGGTCTCTGCGGCTGAACTCGAGTTGGAAGGGACGGTCTCGCGGCCACTGCAGCACCGGGAGCTCTCACGCGGGCCTCACGTTCTTCTGCCAGGCCGTCCGCCTCAGCGGCCTTTCCAACGCCGAGCTGGCGCGCTCCCTGCACAGACTGCACAAAGCAGGTGCGCCCCGGGCTGGGCGGGGACCTGCGGAGCTGGGGACTCTCTCTCAGGACCCGCTCTCAGGATTGACCCCTCCTTTTCCTCCTGCCGGCTTCCTAGCCCCAGATGTGCGCAGCCCCTACTCCCAGATGCCTAACCTGAATGGGCGGACGCAGCCAGAATGTCAGAACCGAACCCCCCGCCTCGACATCGGACTTCCCAAGTCCTACCAGCCCAGCGGCTCCAAGCTCCGGCCCAACCGCGGGCGGTTCAGCCAAGGTGAAAGTCGAGGGAGGTGGGGCCAGCGGGTGGGGCCGGGTCATGTCAGGAGCGGGGCGGGACCGGGAGAAGAGGGACGGGGAAGATAGAGCGGAGGTGGGGCAGATAGATGGGCCGGACAGGCGGGGAGAGGAGGGGCAGGAGAGGAGTGGTAACAGGACTCCTAGAAATTGGGACTGAACAGGTGGAAATGCAATATGACACAATTCAACGGTGTGACTAACGATAGGGCGGGACATAAGGAAAAGGGGCGGAGCACGCAGGTAGGAGGCGGGACTGGCGGGAATGGGACGGGGCCGGCAGGAAGGCGGATTGAGGTGGGGCTAACTCTGCTTCTCTAACCGGAGCACTAGGCTTGACCCTGTGCACGCCCCCTCCGCGCTTCCGCAGGGTTCATGGGCCAGCCACTAGGGAGTATGCGCCCCTCGAAGCGAGCTCCTTCGCCCCCAACGCTAGTGCAGAAGCAGCCCTTCTCTCCCCATCCAACCTGTTTGCAGAGACCGGCTATGAAGAACTTGTACAAGTAAAGCGTTTGCTAAGCGAAACGGGCTGCGCATGGTCGGGGAGGGCACGCAACGGACGCGGATCTTTTGCAAATGTCTTTATTAATCTTGTATAAAAATAAGGTCCATGGAGAGTCCCCAGAGCTGGGGTTGAGATGGAGGGAAGGGGCGCGAGGTCGCACTTTATAAGTTACAAGCCAGGCTCCCGCTGAGGCTAAGTATGGCTATTGGGAGAGGGGTGCTGCAAGCAGCATTTGGGGGAGGGACCAGAGATGCTGCCCTCTGTGGCAAGATGAGGGTGCACCCACCCATCTGAAGTGGGCCCAGGAGGAGGCTGCCTGGCCCAGCCAAGCTGAGGACTACCTTCTTTGAACCCCAGCTTGCCTCCTGGTCTCCACACTCGCCTCCCCCGCCCCCTCCCCTGTGGTCTCCAAGAGTCCGTCTGCAGAAGCAGTGGCTACAGCGAGAGGTCGGATGTGACCTGCAGGGGGGGGCCCGGGGGGCGCCGGCGACCACTGCGACGGCCTGTGTCTGCGCGGATGTAGGGCTGGTTCCGCAGATCTGACAGCGAAGAAGAGAGACATTTACCTTTCAGGAGTCTGCCCAGGGCTGGGACTACCATTCCAGGACACAGGTTGTGTGAATGTGGGAGGGGGCCTCTTTATGTTTACCAGACCCCCCTCAAACACATCCCAGCCATGCATGGCCCAGGGGAGAGCAGCATGATTCTGTCCCCCCAAAAGCCCCCAGGGCTGTGGGCAGCCACTGGGATCAGAGGCCAGGCCACTGGGTACCTGGGGGCTAGAGGGGGATCTCTTCTCCCAGGCTGGCCTCACAGAGGAGCCTGGACGTCCTCTTGCCCGTGCGAGCCGTGAAGGGCACCGTCTTGAGCACTGAGCGTTGGGAGGGAGGAAGGAGGGGAGAAAAAGGGAAAAGGAAAAAAGACAGAAAAAGTAGCAAAGAGGCAGTGAGGCAGCCAGACCCCCAGGGTTGGGGGGTGGATGGAGGACAGCACAGGACAGACAGAGGGCAGGACAGGCCCTGCCAAAGCCCTCACCTGTGATGATATCTTCAATGGCCCCATCACGGTCACTCTCGTAGATGAGTGGCTCCTTCTGCTGCCTCCGTTTCAGCTCAGAGATGAGGTCCATCTGTTGCCGCCGGACCTTGGGTGGGGACTGGGTGGAGGGGGAGGGTGTATAGCTCCAGCTCCAGGATCCCCTTGCCCTCTGTGCCACCAAACCCTAGAACATCTGTCTGGTCCCCACAGCAAGAAGAGCTGGTTTAAGGAAAAGGAACCCATTCCCATCCCAGGCTACTGGGGCATCCTCGCCTTGGGCAGGTTCAGTCCATAAAATGAGGGTGTGTAGGAGGGCCAGGTCCTTGGAATGAGCATACCAAGCATCGCTGGGTTCCAGTGCTAAGCTCAGGGGCAGCAGCCTACCTTGGGTGCTTCGGGCTCCCCTCTGCCTGGGGCATCGGTGCTTGCCTCCTGGGCAGCTGCTTCTTTCTTCCATTGTTCCACCTCCTGCTCAGCTTTCTGAGGGGCCAAGGTGGGTCTACATGAGGGGAGTCCTCCCTTCCCTAGTCCACCCCCCAGCAGAAAGAGCCCGCACCCCTCCCACTGCCCATGCAGAGAGGCTACAGTGCCCTGCAGGGGTCCCAGCCTGCCCACCAGACTCATACCTTATAGGCTTTGATGAAGCGACTGAAGAGGGAAAAGAACATGGAGGGGGACGTGGTCTTGGGGTTCTCTCCAAAGTATTCCACCACAGACTCGTAGGCTTCCTGCAGGCACAGCCTGTCAGCCCCACCAGCACAGACCCCTCGGAGCCTGACAGCTGCTCTGTACCCGCTTAAGACACTGGCCACCTCATCTCTGCTCCTCCAGGCAGGTGGCTGCTCCCTCTTGCCCCATCCCCTAAGGTGTCCCAGCTGTGGTCACACTCCTCCAGGCCTTGGCTACATAACCCCACCTCAGTAGTCCTTCATCCCCGACCCCAGCCTCCCCACCTCCAGGACCAGGCCAACCCCAACCCACCTGAGCCGTCTTGCTGTCTGCCAGCAGCTTATCCATGGTGGGTGAGTTGGCCCTCAGGAACTCCTTGAGCACCACACAGTCATCCTGCCGCACAAACTCCCGCTGAGTCAACTCCAGGCCTCGCTGCAAGGCACGCACGTCCCCAAGCACGCTATCCAGGGACACTGAGTAGGGGGTAGGGCAGGAGAGAAGCAGAAAATCAGAGAGGCAGCATTCCGATCTGGTTACATCCTATGATCGCCTTGCTTTCTCCCAGTCCCCAGGGCTGAGCCACTTCCCCCGCACCCCTACCTGAGCCCGCCTTGTCCAGAAAATGCAAGTCGCTGTGGAACCCTGTGAGCTGTGGGTACTTCTCTGCAATGACCTTCACCAGGTAATGCAGCAGCGTCTGCTTGCGGTCAGTCGACTTCATCTCCAGCAGCTGCATGAGGACCTGCTGTAAGCCACAGGCCACCAGCTGTCCCCCATCCCCCAGGCCAGGGGACCCCTCCTCGCCCCTCTCACCGCATCCAGACTCTGGAGCCGGAAGCCATAGGCTGCCCCACGCTTGCTGCTGTTCATGTAGTTGCCGAAAGCCAGGACAATCTGCCAGAGAGGCAAGGGGAAGCTGAGCAGTGTACCGGGGCTGAGGAAACCCCCTGAAGTATAAATTACACAAGAAATGTGGTGAAGAGCAAGCCCCACACTCCACCCCTACTGCACTTCTGCGTGGATGCCTCAGGACCAGAACACGTGTACACAGTGTGTATGTGTCTGACACACATGCACGGCTAACACCATGGCACACCCAGTTTTGCCCTCTGCTATTCCTACCTGAAACTGTGCTGCCCACACCTCCTCCAAGGCTGTGAGGTCACAGCTCTAACAGCCATTTCTATTGGTTCCCTGACAATAGGATGCTCTGCTAATGAGCCCTCAGGCAGGGTGGGAGGTGCAATGTTGTAACAGGGCCCCCAACCACGCCTTAGCTTTGTCCTTCTGAGCCTGGATGTGAAGAGTGGGAACATTATAGTTGTTGCATCTGGGGGGGGCAGGGCCCCACTCTCACACAACCCAGAACAGGCAAGGCGTCATGGTTGGGCCTCAACTCTTAGACCCTCTCCCTAGGCTCTCACCTCCAGGATCTGGCGGAGTTTGTCTGAGGACTTGATGGACATTGAGGCTGCAATGATGGCATTCAGTTGCTGGGGGTGGGAGCCGGGGAGGCATGGTAAGTTGCGGCGGGAGGAAGGAGAAGCCCATAGAGGGCTCAAATACTCCCAGATGCCCTCTTGGAGCCCAGGCCGCAAGCGGACCTCTCCACAATCCCAGCCCAGGCCACACCGCCCTGCCTGCCCGCGCACACCGGCATGAGCATCTGGGCCGTGTCTGGAAAGTTGCCCAGGAAGATGAGCGTGTTCATGCGCTCGGACAGGCGGGGGATACGGCTGAAGCGCAGCATGAAGTGGTCCTCTTCTGACAGCTCCTCCATCGGTCGCTGCTCCCGCTCAAAGCGGGCGATGAGGCTGCGCTCATACTCTGTGGGCAGGAAGCGGGTCAGCAGCTCCAGGAAGTCCAGGCCAAGGGCCTGTAGGTCGTACCTGTGAGGAAAGGGGTTGGAATCACTCCACACCTGTTCTTGAGAGCAGGCCTACCCTCACCCCATTACTTGATTGGGTAAATGAACTTCAGATTTGCTAATGACCAACAGCTTCAGGGAATAAGAGATGAGTCAAGGTAAGCTGGGAGCTAGGAAGCTCTGAGTCCCAATCACACATCAGTGGCAGATGTCCATCTGTAATTGCCCAGGCCTGAGTGCCCATAGCTGGGCAAGAAGACAAGCAGGGAATGGGAACATCTCCATCTGGGCTTGGACTCACCGTACAACCTCAGTTTCTTCAACCTGAAAATGGGAACAAGGTTCCCTGCCCTACTCCCTGACCAAGGTTGATATGAAGCTTAATGAACTCTGTCCCATAATTGAGGCTCTTTTACTCAGATCTGCCTGACAACCCTGGCCTAGCAGAGGGGTTGGGCTGCCCACAAGCCCGGGTCAGAGGTACTCACGTCTCGATGGCCTGGCAGATGCGGTCAGCCCCCAGGTTGCCCTTGCGCAGGGTTATGGCCAGGTTCTTGGCCCGGTTGGCCTCGATGAGTGTGGCTTTACTGGGGGCCTTCTGGGCTGACTTACTCTTGAGAGCATTAATGTCTAAGCTGGGACCTTGGGACTTGGTCTTGAACTGCTCCTCAAATTCACTCATGTCCAGCTCCTGAGGGTGCAGGGAGAGGAGGTGGGGCTGGGCGGGGCCTGGGGCTGGTGCATTCCTGGCTGAGCACTGTGTTTGGTGCTAGAGCCACCCATCCAGCCCTGACCAGGGCACTAGCAGAGAAACAAAGCAGTGCCCAGCCCGACAACAGGCCTTGATGGGGGATACAGGGGAAGCACATGGAGCACAGAGGAGGAGCAGGAGCAGCACCTAACCCAGGTGACCAAGACTACAAGCCATTTCTGAAGGAAGAGCTGAATTGGCCAGGGTTAAAAAGAAGAAAGGGAAGAGTCCAGGCTGAGGGACTAGCATGAGCAATGACTTGGAGGCAACAGAACACATCCCTTTTGGAAAACTGAAAGTGGAATTAGAAGGGCTGAGTCCTTTGTTGTCTGTGAGGAGATGGTGGGAGAGGGGCCTGAAAGGAGGAGAGAGCAGCCAGACTTGGGGTAGGGATGTGCCTCTCTGCAGGGATGGAGGGAAGGCCTTCATAGGAGTCAGGATACACTGCCTACTAGGTGCACTAATCCAGTTCAGTTTAACATCCATTCCTGGGCCTCCATGCCCTCATCTGTAAAATGGGGTAGAGGATGTGACCACTCCCAGCACCCAGTATGATCCAGGCAGGTCTCCTTCTTCCCTGGCACCCACACTGGCAGCAAAGCAGGGCTGCACTCACCTGCAGCACCTTTTCATCATTGAGCTCGGTGAAGACGGTGCCTGTGATCTGGTTGGGTTTCAGGGCCACCCAGTTT